TAGCAGTAGGCACACTCCCATCTCATGAAGCCCAGCCCATGACTGTGTTCACCTGCAACATGTGTGATCTTCCAGACACACCAGTCCCTACTCCTGCAGTCCTGCATCATCAGATGCTCCCCGTCCTCACCCACAGCAGATGACTGTACATTTCTCCTCCTCTTCATTGTGGTCACAGCATCTCTGCTCCCCAAGTCCCCACCTACATAACTTCAGGGGCAAGTAGGGAATCCCAAAACATGTCAACACACTGTGAGAGTTTAGTCGGGCTTCCATAAAGAAACACAGTCTAAGTGACTTAAACAAGATAAATGTATTTCCTCATAGTTCTGGAAGCTGGGAGTCCAAGATCAAGGTGCCGGCATGTCTAACTCCTTCTGAGGCCTTTCCCTTTGGCTTGCAGACGGCCGCCTCTTCCTGTCCTCATGTTATCTTCCCTCCGTATATGTGTATGTGTCTCCCTCACCTCTTCTTTTAAGACCAGTCATATTGGATCACGGTGCACCCTAATGACCTCATCGAACCTTAATCGTCTTGGAAGACCTTATCTCCAAATACAGTCACATTCTAACGTACTGGGAGTTAAGATTTCAACACATCGATTATGAAGGACCAAAATTCAATCCATAACACACACCAAGGGTTTATTTTGGTTACCAAAGCATCCCGAGGTTCTGTGACCTCTTACTTGGTGACCAACAGGACACAGGAGAAAGATTCTTTAGAAGCCAAAGTGCAGCCACATGAGGCCATGCTGATTGCCACCCCAAACCCTCCAGTGAAGGCAACTGTTACGACCACATTTCGACAGTCATTAATGTCTACCATAATACATGCAAAGACTTTGTAACTAATTTAGAAAATAAAATTTCTAAAAGTTCACAATGGAAAAAAGAAATCACTAGGAGAAGAATTCTAAAGGAAGTTGGTTGCTGAAAGATGCTGACACTCTCTAGGCCAAAATTTTATTACTGATTATTTTGTCTGCCCTACATTGACAGAATATAACTCCCCATTAAAATTTTTTTAAAACGTCAAGCTTTACAATCATCAAGATCCTAAACCTGCTCTCTTTTCATGCCACAAAAAGTCACCAATGATAGCACAAGCTTTGGGCTTTACTTCTTCCGGAAGACTCTCTTTGGGCAGAAGATGGCAAAGGAAATTAGCTGGGGGAACCTAAATCCATCAAATAAATAAATAAGAGACACTGTGAAATGGTGAACTTCTATTTTGAAGTATTTAATTAAGCTTCAAAACAGAAAGGGCAAAATGAGCTTATTCCCCTCAGAAAGAGAAATAGCAGAAACTACTTTTGTGTTTATACTGAAACAGGTCCACTGAGCATCCTCTGTAAACATTAAATAATGATCACATAGTATCAAAAATGAAAACCCTTACTATTTATTGAACTGGATCCCATGCTCACAAAAAGCCTCTTAAATGAGATTCTCAGAGGACTTTATAAATGCTCTCTTATTATTGTTCACTTTTGTTTGAAAAAGGTAAGTATTTCATCTCCATTTCAGAGTTAGGGGTTAAGAGAAAGGTTAAATGAATTATATAACATTATACCAACATCCACCAAGGATAGAGATGACATTTGTCATCCCTTGAGGACTAAAAATCTCTCATGAAAAATTAAGTAACTTAACTAGTTATTTTTGGGAGGGGGTTTCAAAAATGTATATTTTATCTGTACATCATCGCCTAAAAAGAAAGGTAAAAATTAATAACTGTGCTAAATAAAAAATCAGTGTGGTTCTTCAGAACCCCTTCTATTCTGTGTACCCACCCATGTGGCTGGAGATTTGAAATGCTGTTTAAGTCTCATTTTCCTTCAGAAGCTAACCTCTGTGGAATAAATGCTGTTAAGGGAAAAAAATCTTTTCCGTCACTTAACTTTAACTTATGATAAATTAGCTTCAACTAGTTTCTTAGAAAATTGCCCAAGAAATGACTACAGAAAATTAAATACCAAAACTTCAAAGAGGCAAACACAGCCTTCAAATTCCGGCCTCGGAGAATAATCCTCCCTTTCTCATGCTTTGGAGAGATGTGAGTAAGGAAATCATACGAGAGCATGGTAATTAACCATCTTTCAAATGACTTTTCTATCAATCTTCTTTTCAAAGGGTAATAAAGTGATGATTATTTCTAGGCAGTTTCTGGGAAGTTATCATCTCATTTCAATTGTCACCAATAAGAAGGACTGTACTGTGGTATTATCACCGTGATGATAAGGGCAAGAACTGGTTGAGAACTCAATAGACAAGGTGTAGGCTGTTAAAAGCTATGTCCTGGAAAATTAGAACAGAGAGAGATCAAAAGACTTGTGTTGGGTCTTAAGGAATTGGCAATCATTCCCTTCTAGATTAAAAGTGCATATCTGATTTATTACCTAGTGAATGAAATGTATTATCATTTGAAGATTTTATTATTTCAACAAATAATGTTGAAAGCTTATTACGTTCCATGCTTTGTGCTAGAGGCTGGCGACTGATGGCCAAAGACAGCGAGCCATCACAGAGGCATCTCTGTCACAGCTGTAAGAGGCTGGGTGGTTCATCTCATCTAAAGCAACAACCACCAAAAAAAAATTTCTTTGTTGTTAATGTTGAATACAATGTTTGAGGGGAAGTGTTAGTCATCAAGAACTTTTTTTTGCAAAGTCACAGGAAAGAATAACAGGGCAAGAAACACCCAAAATTGTATGTGATCTCGTTCCTTAGACTGTCAGAGCCTCACGAGACCAGGGGGCAGAAGCCACTTTGGAAAGGTCGGCCTGGCGAGGGCGCTGAGCACAGGATCCTTCAGGTGGCACTCCGAGAACCCAGATTCAGATCCCATCTGAGAGATAGGCTTTGTGCTCATACAAGGAGGATGCAGTCTGTTTTTCTTCAGTGGTTCTTAAAAGCACTTATTTTATCTTCTTATTTGCCCTAAATCTCTTATCCCTGTCTGAAATTACAGCCCACTGACAGACAAGGTATGAGATACACCTTCAGATTCAACAGTTGCCCAGAAGACAAATTTTTTAGCACTAGCCAGAAATCCAAACTCGGAAGAGAGAGAGACAGAGGCAGGAAGTAGGGGGAGGGGAGTGGGAGGGAGGAAGAGAGAGAGGGAAGGAAGGAGGGAGGAAGGGAAGAAAGAAAGAGAAAAATGGACATCAATATTTGGGGAGCAAAGAAATGTTATGTTTACTGTATCCTCGCCACTCATGTGATACAAAGAAGGCAATAAATATCTATTGAATAAAACTGAATGAATGAATGAATGAATGAATGCCCTACTTTTTCGGTCAGGAATCACCCCAAGTCAAGATTATCGCATCGGTATTTGCATGCAAGCAATCCCACAGTGAGCTTTGCCCAACAGTTCATCTTTTTAAATGTTACTCTGGTGGTTTTTCTTTTAAAAAAAGAAAAGAAAAAAGCATAACACAAACATTTTAAATCAAACTGTATTTGTTTTCAAGTTCCATTCCAGGTAACAAATAGTTAACCAGTGACTTAGTGCCTTACTTTGGCCCTTACATAGGCAAGCTGCCTCTTTCCATAGGTGAACACAGCACTGAACTGAGTACCAATAGACCCCTATTGATTTGCAAAATAGGATAAAGCAATTAAGCCCTGCAAAGAGCATTAAGATTTTACCCTCATTGCCAATCAAGAAATCACCCAATTTCCTGCCTCCCAACAACCCCAAGACCAAAACAAAAGGGGTATAAATTAGCCCTTGTGCAGCTCACACTTACAAGAATCGGGCATGATCCTTGGCGAACTAAATCCTTGACTTTATATCCCCTGTGCCTGGGCAACCTTTCCCCTGAAGGATAACCTAAGAATGCAGGAGTGTTGCTTTCAAAAGCAAGCTGGTAATGCAACGGCTAACGCTAAAGGTGAATTGTTTTAAGCCGAGGGGGTTTGTCGCTGGCAGGTTGGAACACTATAAAAAGGAAAAGGAGGTGCAGAAGGAGATGAGAGAGGATCCCAGCCTTCATCTCTTCCTTGTGTGAAAAGGTCATGCTTGTTCTGAGGTAGGGCAACCCCAACAGTGAGGAAGGGAAATGACTGATCCTCAAAATGTGCTGTAAGGTATAGCTTCCAGGGACCCTTCCCTCGGGCATCCAAAATGATTACATGTTCCCAGGCGGGACTTAAAATATACACAGCACTCGTTAAGCCCCCGAAACTTTGCACTGGAATGAAGCAAACACCTTCAAAGCTGTTTTCAATCAGAAACCCATCTTTCCCCATGGGATCTGGGGAAGATAAATTAACCTGTAATATTATACACACAGCTCTAGAAAAGCAAGTGGCGTTTTAGAGGCTGGCTTAGTCAACTCTCTAAGAGTCCCCCCAGGCTTAAGGGAAGGGAGAACATTTCTTAATAATTTTCAGTTTTGCATATCCTTGTCCCCCTCCCCCTTTTTTTTTTTTTTAGTTTTTTTTGGGGGGGGTATGTGCCCCTAGTGGGAACCGAACCCAGAAACTGAACCAGGGACTCCCTGGTCCGCAGACCAACGCTCCAACTGCTGAGCCAAACCGGCCAGGGCCCTTGTTCCCCCTTTTTAAAAAAAAAAGATCCAAGGGCACTTTTTCTAGATTTCCCTTTCCCCTCTATTCAGAGAAACCTGCAGTGGCCGGGGCATCAGATGATTCACTGACAGTACCTCCAACCCATCTGGATTCACCAGAATACTAACTTCCTCCTGGCTCGTCAGTGCACAAGTGCTTCCATCTGTGCAAATGCACCACATCCCTTGGTGTTCCTTATTGTGATCCAAGCCCCACACTGCCGGAGAGGACATCAGAGAACTTTTTTCTGTGCATCTATATACATAAACACAGTATGTGGGAGAGGTGGTGAACAGCAGTGGGGGTTAGAGCGTGCACACAGTAAGAAAATAAATTAAGCTCATCGCCCTGATCCGTCGGTGCCAGCACTCTGTTCCAGGGGACCTGAGAGGCCAGCCAAGCATGAGGTATGACGGAGCAGTGTTCCCGGCTGACACCTCCCAGTGTCTTCCTCTGCAACTTGAGGATGACGAGCACATACAAAGCAGCCTGCACATGGGTCAACATCTAGGAGAACCCATTCTTCTTACACAGATGAGGTCTTTGGGTAAGAGGAGGCTTGAGGCTCAGGAGGCGGGCCCCAAGGAGGCCCGCAGGGTAGGGCCATCGAACAGAGATCTGATGTCATCAGTGTTATGTCAATCAACCTGTGTCACCACAGAGTTAGTTCCCGGAAGGGAAGGCAAGGGCTGTCCTCTTCTTACTTCTCCCCTTTCACAGCCGAGTGAGGTCTTCTGGAGGATCACCCCCCCTTGCCCTTGCTGGAGGTCCCTCGCCTCCTTCTACTTTGCTTTCAAGTCCAAAGGTGGACTTTATCCTTCCCGGGGAATAGTCATTCCTTTTCAAATCTGCAAGGAAGACAATTAAGATGGTTATGTGGATCCTCAAAGTTGAAGTGCTCACAGAGATCAACCGAAATGTAAGCTTCTCCGGGTACTCAGAGAGGACATGCTTCCTCTGGCCACCCACACAGGAAACTCAAACCCTCGACTATTTCCAGACCACCTGCCCCATGCCTAGTGTGACTCTACCTCCCCAGTGCTGTTTCAGGCTTGTGCTCACGGGGCCAGGAGGAAAGGTTTGGTTGCTTGATTCAATATGAAATGCCCTGTATGGCACAACCTGGCCAGAGTTCAGTGAGCCAAACTGGAAACAGGACATTTCACCGTTGACCCATGGATGGGCAAGGACAAGGTCAGCCCAAGTGGTGACCTCAGGATGTCAGTGGTCAGTCTTCTGCAACAAGCTGTAGTGGGGTCTGGCGCTGCCTATGAAAGTTTCATCTAATTACAGGATCCTGTGCTTCCGACGCCTCCTTCTGCCATGTGAAAAGGAAATTATCAAAAGAAAACACTGACAGGGGTCATCTTTGGGGAGAAATGTATGGAGGAAAATGGGCTTTAAATGTCTGTGTACCGTTTTGTGTTATAGTGATTAAATTTTTTAACTTTAAACATACATTCTGTGTATTTTTAATGTTAAATGGGGACTATCTGAACATAAAAATAACAAAACTTGCAGTTCAATGATAACGAGCAGTTACTGGCAGGTCCAGCTCTGTGAGATGGGAGCCATTACCCCCAGTGTGCGGATGAGGAACCGAGGCCCGAGGTCGCAGCCTAGTCAGAAGCAGAACTGGGATGTGAGCTCAAACTCTCAGGCTCTGGACCCCATGTTCTTATACACTATCCTAAACTGTCTCTTTGAAAATAGGAAGGTAGGTAGATAAAATATTACCGAAAAAATAAAAACAAAAACAAAAAACATCCCTATTCCTGTTCTTCAGACTAAATATTTCTTATTCAGATAACCAAATGACTGAGTAACTGAGGCTGTTTCTTATTTCCACTTAAATGTGCTAATTCAGGTTTTGAAAGGAACCACGGATTAAGTTTAGAGATAGAGGAATTATTGAATTACTCAAAGCCCACCAGCGTAGGTTTAAAAAACATGATCTCCACCTTAATCGTACAGAACAGCTAACTAGGGTCACGGATGGAGGCAGTGAGCTACGCCTCATGCCGTTCTTTCTCCTGGCTGATCAGACATAGTCCCTTTTTCTCCAAGAAGGAGAGGCTGCCTGGTCCAGGGTTCAATGAATCAGACCCGGGGAGAGGCCAGCACCTGAAGACACTGAGCTAACGGGCTGGACTCCAGCCTGCGATCATGGGATGATTCAGATGTGTCAGCACCTGCCTTTACCTGGAGGGCCCTGATGCTCCCCCAGTCCAACTGCAGATTCTCCCCGGGTTCCTTCCGACCGGAGAGGATGCCAGTGGGCAGCTCAGCCCGTGTGCTGTGGACTGACCTCTGTGCCTAGGTCTGCTGTGTGGTTTGTGAGAGCACGTCTTGGGCAGGTGTGACGGCCTCCCCCCATTTGCTGCTCTCCTCTGACCTCCCCACCCTACGTATACCCCCAACCACCCCTCTGTGACAGGCCATTTCTCACAGGGACCAGAAGCATGCTCCGAATCCCAGCCATTTGCTCTGTCTTGCCCATAAGAGCTTCTCAACCTTCTACCTCGAACACTCCCAAGATCAGAAATTGCCCTTTTTCTTGTTGTCAATTTACACCCACTCCATCCCAAGTTACAGCAGACAATGATCTTTTACGGATTTCCAACTCAGGGTGTGACCATTCGTTAGAAGGCAGGAAGGGACACTCTGCTTAAAATATGTGACATTCCATTCTGAGGACAAGTTTGGTATGATCTAAGAACAACAGTGAGCAAGCTGAGAGAGACATACAGTGTCCCTTCTGAGATCAAAGGAGAGGACGACACAGAGCTGAGGCTGCCAAGGTGGGGCGCGCAGACCTCCCGCTCTCTGCTTTTACGCAGGAATATTTTCTGTGGTGACTACGTCGGTGTCGGAAAAAAGTGTGTTATATTATCAAATAATATTTAAAATATATGCATGCATGTTTAAAGCGGCAGTTTTCTGCAGTAAAAAGCACTACTTCCATGGACAGCTGTTTCCCTCCTACCCCACCCTCCCAAGTGTCCAGTGAGTAAACAAGAACAGAATATAAATGCTGTCGGCCCCACACGAGACCCGAGGGTGGGGAGTGGCGCAGAGACCCGCCTCCGTGCGATTTTACCCGACTGAAGTCTACAGAACTTTCCCCCGGACAGACTGCGACCGGCGCTGGGCCCAGTGTTGTTTTATCACATTTTGGCAGAACCTGAAGTAAATCCCTGTCCTTTTAATCCCCTTAGAGACTTGCAAAACGCGCAGCCAGAAAGTCAGGCCTCCACCGTGGGTGCGATAAAAATGTGATTAAGATTTCCTGCTCTGGCCCAGGTCACAATGGATGTTGTTCCAGGAGAGACCGACTTGGAGAAAGAGCAGAACTGCTCGGGGCGTACCCGGGAGCTGGAGCTTCCGGCAGCAGGAGTTGCAGCGGTGTTTCGCGATGAAGTTTCGAATGGCGTCCTCCCCTAAATTGGCTGGTCCGAACTCCATTCCTCTTGATCTGGAGGAAATATCAGAATATCAATTAGATCACAGCTGAGAAAAGGAGCTCGCGAGGATTCTCTGAGACACCGACCTGTCTCCCGTAGTAACCCAGCGCACTTGAAGGAGCCAACAAAGAACAGAGCACTTCGGGGAAGTAACAATGTTAGGTTCGCAAATTTAAAATTCAAATGCACTTAAATCTTTGTACCCAAGTCCAAGACCTACTGTGAAACTCATTTCAGCGCTAATCTGATAGGAGGGTGAATTTCCTCCGCACCAAGCTAAACCAAAACACACTGAGACCCTTTTTCATGCGTATGAGGTGAGAGAGTGACATTCGTGACCAAAGGTCCGACTAGAATACCGGAAAGATAAAGTATAAAGTTAAATAAATTTGCTACTGAAACACATCTTCTAAAAGGAATCATATACATTGTTTCAAGCCCAAGTGCCTTTCTCAGTACGACCAAGTCCTTGAAAACAAATGACAAATCCCTCCAGTACCCCGGCTCTTTCGGCTTCTGCTTTCTACCCTGCAAACTGCTGGGGCTGGGCTTACTGTGGAAAGACAAGGCTGCTCTGATTCTGCGGAAGTCAACTACATATGCTAAATGTAGGTGACAAAAATCACAAACAGAACCAATATATATTTGGCACATTTTGAATACTCTAATTATGATAGATTCTCAGCAGATTCCAGGATCAACGTTCATCCATTATCAGATCACGCACACCCATTATTCTTCAAGCTGACACCACACACCACGGACCGCAGCACACCAGAAACACTTCCAAAGAAACTTTATGAAAGCTAATGTTTTATTTTAATGACATGCGGAGTGGAAAGAGCACATTTAAAAATCTGAACTCAATTACAGCTCTTAAATACCACGTCCTAAGAAAAAAATAAATAAAAGTAAGCTATCACCAAAGGAAACAATAAACTCTGCTTCTAAGGAATGCGGTTTTGTCAAAAGGGACGTGGTGTAAATATGGACTTTTTTTTCCATCCAAGTACTGAAACATTTATCTCAATTTCCACTTCCTTTTGGCAGAATAACAGTAGCTGCTCTGAAGATGTGCCAAGCTCAGAATGAGGGCTGATGTCAGTTTGATCTCAGATTGCCTCTTTGCTCTCAGGCGAGTAGGTGGAGGAAATCTCTTGGGAAGACAAAGTGAACAGACACCCAGGATTAATTTTCCTGGTCACTCAATCACCCTTACAAAGTACGACTCTGGTGGTATTTACCGGCTGCAGAAGCTGCCTCTTATTAACTATTCTTCTCTTTCAGTCCTTCGGGTAAAAAATAAAATAAAATAAAAAATAACACTTCAAATAAGGTGAGACCAAATGTGGCCCAAAAAAAGTAGAATCACTCGATATTTAGTCCCAGAACTCAATGATGCCGATACAGTGAAAAATGATGGGGTTTTTTTGGTCATTAAAATGAGAGAACTCCTTTTCTCGTCTCTCCAGCAGGACCTGTTGGGATATGTCTCACCTGCAACTACTTTCCTCCAGTAAAACATGAAACCCCCAACTCAGAGACGTAACCCTGATTCTCAGATAAAATCATTTCCCTCTATGAACTTTGTGAAAGTAACAAAAGAATTAAATTGCTACAAAGTGCATCTATCAGGGGTTGGCTCCCTGTGCAGGGGGGAATGAAGGAGGGTCGTAGGGACGTTTATTTGCATCTACACTCTACATCCTGCCTACAGCTTTGCCGTCTCAGATAATGAAGTTTTCAAAGTAAATAAATGCAACTGTTTTTCCCAGCACAGGAAAAGCAGGTGGTAGCTTGATTCCACATGTGAGGAAATGCTGATAAGTGTCATGTATACATAGATTTGCCAAAGAATATCTCATCATTACCATCACTTCAGATTTGTCCAATGCCCCAAACCATCAAGGCAGTAAGTGAAAAGATGCCATATACATAAACTACTAATACCTGAAGCAGGCACCACAGAGGCTCGTGACCTAAGGAACCAAGTGAAGTGGGCAGAGAGGATTTGGAGAAGGCCTGATGACTTGGTCTTCACGTGCAAAACGTTGGGGACAGTTAAGAGGCAGCAAGCAGCAGAGACAATATCAGAATTTGTGCCACAAAATAAAATCTTCTCTTTCATGGACCCCCTCCTCCTAGTAGGCAAGTTACCATCTTCACCAAAGTTCCATTTTCTCACTGGTGGACTGGGATTGAAGATGCTTACCTCGTTGTTCAGGGTAAAATAAACATCTGAAAGCAGTTGCTTAAACCAGTGCTTCTCAAACTTTAAGTTACAGCGAATCAGTTTAGGATCTTGTGAAAATTCAGATTCACATTCAGGAGCTCTAGAGGGGGCCTTGAGATTCTGCATTTCTCACAAGCTCCCAGATGATGCTGATACTATGGGTCCATGGCCCACGTTTCGTGCCGCAAAGGTCTATTGACACACAGAAGGCATCTGGAATGTGATCCTCAGTGAACAGTGAATGTGAGCCACGTAATCCACCACCATTGCAAGAAAATAGTACTTCTAAATATCTTCACCATGAAGACAAACTGCACCCAAAACTGGGTGACCCCACGAAGCCAGCCATGCTACAATGATGCCATCTTATCAGCTTCCAGAGTTTCAACCCTCAAGTCATAAAAAATAAAGTCTGCCATAGACAGAGGTTCCCAACCCTGGTTGTCTATTAGAATCACATGAGGAACTTTTGAAGAATACAGACATCAGGGCCCTCTCCTCAGAGATTCTGATTTGATGCCAATGCTGAGCAGCTTATTTTTTAAATTTTCCTGGGTGACCTTAATAGAAATTGAAACCCACTGGCCTATAGAACGCAATTAAATACTCAACTGTCAAGTAGGATGATATAATCTTAGAATTCTAAAAGATGGAAATATTCAGGTCATATTAAATGACATATACAAAAGTCAAAATTTAATAAATGATAGAGTATACATAAACTTGGTTCATGATATATGCAACATTTTTTTCACTGCAAAATTATAAAGAAAGTACTTACAGTACCAGGTTCCTACTACAAACCCTTGGGCACACAGGGCTCCTGGAGAAATCATATTCTTAGCTAAAAACACTTGAGCTCTGCTAAAGTGCAAAATAAAGCCTTTGTCTGTACCCTAAAGTCACAACATGAACCGCATGGTCAAATATCACAGGAGTTGGCTGCACGGGAGCAGCATGGTTCACCTAGGCCTTCTCTCGCCCTCACCTGGTTCACAGAAATAGCTAATACTTTTAGATGGGCCTCTTTGCATAGAAGCTTGCAGATGAGACCATAGTTAGATGCGCCATAGAACAGAGTATTAGAGCAGTAAATATTTACAGTATAAGACCTATGGAAGGAAAGAAAAATTTTCAGATTTTATTGTGTAAGGATTTCACACTTATGTAAATATATCTATTACCACCCAGAGCTAAGTATAGACACTTAGGACAAGTAAGAAATAAAAAGGTTGCATGCTAGCAGTTCTCAAGTGTGGTCTCAGGTCAGCAGCAGCAGCAGCAGCAGCAGCAGCAGCAGAATCGTCTGGGAATGTGTTATATTTTTGGGCCCCACCCCAAACCCACTGAATCAGAAAATGGAGCGGGAAGACGGAATGAGCAACCTGTGTGTTCACAAGCTCTCCTGGTAATTATGATGAAAGCTCGCGCTTGCAAAACGCTGTCACCTGCCATATTGATCAGTCCTTAATCAACACCATCACTTCTTGCTTTCTATCCACCTTTAACAGAAGAATCCAGCCTCAGACCCTCTACTGCTAAGCCTTCCCAAAAGTCTGTTTAGGGGATAAAATGCCATGGAAATCAAGGGACGGGCAGATGACTCATCCGTCCATATAACTTAAGCTTCAGTCTAATTAACGGACAATCGGATGCTCCATATTCCAGCCCCAAAGCTCTGGCCCCGCGCAGATGTGCCGTGGCTGGGGTGCACACTGGGTGCCTTCAGCTCTCATCCCACAGGCCTGTGCTGGGGGACGCTGCCCACGGTAAGATGCAAGGCCTCCATTGTGCGAACAACAAAGGAAACTGCTTCTCCTATGACAGGAATTGTTTTCCTGTCAAAGCCTATAGAGGCTGCACAGACCCATGTTTCTCTTTTGTCTGGGCCACTAGAAAACTGAGTCAGATTGGCAACAAAATTCTGGCTACTGCATTGGTCTTTATATTTCCCATGTATGTGTACTAACTTAAGGCCAGATTTAATCTTGATATTTCCATATTTTCTTTTGGCCCCATTTCCTAATCTATGCTTTCCTTAAAATCTTATTGTATTTTAAATATCGAATTTTATTGTATTATAGTTGCATATATACATAACATAGAGAATAAAGATGGATATAGATATAGATAAAAGCTGCATCGCAACCTTTCTAGGATCTAGGCAAGAAATATAAATATCTAAAACTTATTTTTTTAAAAACCATGTACAGTGTGTTAAATGCAATTTTCTAAAAAATAACAGCATAAATTAACTTACTGTTTGTCTTCAGGTTTTATAACAGATGGATCTGTCAAATTTTCTCCAACACCTCCAAAGAAGAAAGAAAGTTAATTTAGCAAATGGGAATTTCATTTTCTCAGATTTCCAGAAAATAATAAATTTTAATTTATTTCTTCAAACCTCTGTCTACCCTGTAATAAATTACACATCATGTGAATTAACTGTACTATGAAAATTGTCTAGGCATGTTCAGAAATTTTAATTAATGCAGTCTCCCACAACCTCCTCTTATGCTATAATAAACTTCTAGGCCACACATGAACGTTTTAGTGGTGTGTTCACAGTAACTGTTAGTAGCACCAATCATTCATTTACTTCTCGTATGTACTAGACATTCTAATTTTATTTTCTCTAACTCTTAGCAATCATAAAGGAAATTATTAGCATCCTCACATCCTCATTTTGCCAATGAGTAGGTTAATGTTCAAAGAGATTAAGCAATTTGTCAGGTCATACTGTCCTCAAGTGGAGACAGCTGGATTGAAACTGAGGCAAAGCTTCCTCGCACCCATGCACGGTCTCCTGAGATGGAGCCGCCAGCTCTTGGCAAGGTGCAAGGTGCTGTGTGGTTCCGCCGTTACCACCTCTGCTGCATCAAAACACCCACCGAGGAGAGAAAAATGGCGGCGGAGTGAACGGAGCTACACAGATCGTCTCCCAGAACCAAACTGGAATTACAACTATAACACAGACAAATTGACGGGAAAAAGCAACAGAAAAGCAGCTTGGAGGACCATACAACGAGGGACACTGACTCCATACCGGTAGGCTTGCGAAGGCGCGAGACGGGGCTGGGAGCCCAGGGTCGGCAGCTCGGCAACGGCCTCAGCTGGGAGCAGCGCCCTCGGGTTACACTCCCAGGCGGCGCCACAGCGCAGCCGGGACAGAGGCTGAAACAGCCACAGCCACTCACCTTGGGCTCCGGCAGAGGGAGGGCAGACTGGACTGGAACTATATCGGGACACTCGGGATTTGGAGGGCACTCAGAGCTTTTGCTGAGTGCCAGCCACGCAGGACTGTGGCCATATTGCTCCTTCCCAGGGCTCTGAGGAGAGGCAGCAGCCCCTCCCTCGGAGATCCAAGCCCACCCTGTGGTCCATTGAAGTCCTAATTGAGGCTCATTAACAACCAGCATCTGCCCCACCCTCGTGAAATCCCCTTGTGCTGAGCACCTGAGGGAGTTTTTCAATCAACTGACAACCCAAAACTCATCAAGTAACCTCGACTGCTAGCCTCCAGGCAAAAAGCTAGAGGATAACAGTACCTTTCCTGGGTTGGCAGCTTTAACCAACAAAGTAAGACTTGACAGTGGTGTTTAACGTGGGTCATCCCTCGCTCATCTAAACACAGGAGAGGGAGCCACAAACAGCAGAACACCAACACCCAAGGGAAAACTTGACAGGCTCCAAAGCCCACAGTGATAGCCAAAATGGTGAAACACAGAAACAGAAGCCAAATGAAAGAGCAAGAGACCTCCACCGAAGATGAGATCAATGTGGAGCAATTAGGCATGTTAACAGAGCTAGAATTCAGAGCCATGATCTTGAGGAAGCTGAACAGCATGAGTAAGGACATAGAGACACTGAAAATAAGCCAATTGGAAATTAAAAACCATCAAGAAGAGATAAAAAATGACATATCAGAAATGAAAAACACATTGGAAGGTTTAAAAAGCAGAGTAGAGGAAGCTGAGGACCGGATCAGTGAATTAGAAGACAGAGTAGAAAAAATCAACCAATCAGAAAAACAAAAGGAAAAAACTATTAAAAAACGGAAGACAGCTTAAGAGAACTGTGGGACAAATGGAAACGTAATAATATTCACATCATAGGAGTCCCCGAAGAAGAAGAAAATGAGCAAGAGATAGAGAATATATTCAAAAAAATAGTGACAGAACACTTTCCTAATTTGGTGAAGGAAGAAGGCATTCAAGTTCAAGAAGCACAGAGAGTCCCAAGTAAGAAGAACCCAAACAGGCCCACACCAAGACACATAGTAATTAAAATGCCACAAATTAAAGACAAAGAGAGAATACTCAAAGCAGCAAGAGATAAGCAACAGGTTACCTACAAAGGAAACCCCATAAGGCTCTCAGCTGACTTCTCACAAGAAACACTACAGGCCAGAAGGGAATGGCATGAAGTAATCAAAGTCATGAAAAACAAGAATCTGAATCCAAAACTACTCTACCCAGCAAGGCTATCATTCAAAATAGAAGGTCAAAGAAAGAGCTTCCCAGACAAAAAAAGGCTAGGGGAATACATTAGCACCAAACCAGCACTGCAAGAAATGTTAAAAGGACTGCTGTAATTAGCAGTACAAATGGGAAGAAAAATAATACCACACTAAACAAAAATGGCAATAAATAAGTACATATCAATAATCACCTTAAATGTAAATGGACTGAATGCTCCCATAAAAAGACACAGAGTAGCTGATTGGATAAGAAAGCATGACTCATCTATATGTTGTTTACAAGAGACCAACCTCACAACAAAAGACGCACATAGGTTGAAAGTGAAGGGATGGAAAAAAATTTTCCAAGCACATGGAAAGCAAAAAAAAGCTGGGGTAGCAATTCTCATATCTGATAAAATAGATTTCAAAATGAAGACCATAACTAGAGACAAAGACGGCCACTACATAATATTGAAAGGATCTATCCAACAGGAAGATATAACCTTGATAAACATATATGCACCCAATATAGGAGCACCAAAATATATTTAAAATCTTCTGGAGGACTTCCAAGGAGAAATCGACAACAATACAAACATAGCAGGTGACTTCAACACCCCGTTGACAGCACTGGATAGATCCTCTAGGCAAAAAATTAGCAAGGAAACAGAGATTCTAAATGAAGCACTAGACCAAATGGATTTAATAGATATCTACAGAGAATTACACCCCAAAACTACAGAATACACATTCTTCTCAAGTGTACATGGGACATTCTCAAAAACAGACCACATGATAGGACACAAACTAAATCTCTACAAGTTCAACAAGATTGAAATCATATCAAGCATCTTCTCAGATCACAATGGCATGAAACTAGAAATCAATTGCAACAAGAACATGCAAAGACATTTCAACACATGGAGGCTAAATAGCATGTTATTAAACAACGAATGGGTCACCGAGGAGATCAAGGAAGAAATTAAAAACTTCCTGGAAACCAATGAAAATGAAGACACAACAACACAAAATCTATGGGATGCAGCGAAAGCAGTTCTGAGAGGGAAGTTCATAGCACTACAGGCCTACCTCAAAACACAAGAAAAATTTCTAATTGACTGTCTAACCTCACAACTTAAAGAATTAGAAAGCAAACAAAAAGAAAACCCCAGAGCAAGTAGAAGGAAGGAAATAGTAAAGATCAGAGCAGAAATAAATGACATAGAGACCAAAAAAAACAATTCAAAGGATCAATGAAACAAAGACCTGGTTTTTCAAAAAGGTAAACAAGATTGATGGACCCTTAGCTAGACTCACCAACAAAGAGAGAGAACCCAAATACACAAAATCAGAAATGAAAGAGGAGAAGTAACAACCAACACCAAGGAAATACAAAAGATTGTTAACAACTACTATGAACAACTATTTGGCAAGAAATTCGACAATCTAAGCGAAATGGACAAATTTCTAGAAACACACAGTCTCGCAAAACTGGACCGGGAAGAGATAGAAAACTTCAACAGACCAATAACAACTAAGGAAATTGAAGAGGTAATCAAGACTTCCCCAGCAAACAAAAGCCCAGGCCCAGATGGCTTCACGGGGGAGTTTTACCGAACATTCAAAAAAGAACTAACACCCATTCTCCTCAAACTATTTCAAAAAATTCAAGAAAAAGGAGACTTCCAAACACATTCTATGAGGCCAGCGTAATTCTAATTCCAAAACCAGAAAAAGACACTACGAAGAAAGAAAACTACAGGCCAATATCCCTGATGAACATAGACGCCAAAATCCTGAACAAAATATTAGCAAATCGGATCCAGAAATACATCAAAAAAATTATTCACCATGACCAAGTGGGATTCATTCCAGGGATGCAAGGCTGGTACAATATTTGCAAATCAATAAATGTGATACACCACATAAACAAAATGAAGAATAAAAACCACATGATCATATCAATAGATGCTGAAAAAGCATTCGACAAAATCCAGCATCCATTTCTGATAAAAATGCTCAGCAATGTGGGAATAGAGGGATCATATCTCGACATAATAAAGGCCATATATGAAAGACCTACAGAGCCAACATCATACTCAATGGACAGAAACTAAAAATATTTCCATTAAGAACAGGAACAAGACAGGGATGTCCATTTTCGCCACTCTTATTTAACATTGTACTGGAAGTCTTAGCCACAGTAATCAGACATGAAGAAAAAATAAAAGGGATCCAAATTGGAAAGGAGGAATGGAAACTGTCATTATTTGCAGACGACACGATATTATATATAGAAAACCCTAAAGACTCCATCAAAAATCTACTAGACTTAATAAATGAATTTGGCAAAGTAGCAGGATACAAAATTAACGTCAAGAAATCGATGGCATTCTTGTACACCAATGATGAACTCACAGAAAGAGAAACTGAAAAAACAATCCCATTTACCATCGCGCCAAAAAAATTAAGATACCTAGGAATAAACTTAACCAAAGAAGTAAAGGACCTATTTGCAGAAAACTACAGGTCATTGAAAAAAGAAATAGAGGAAGATATAAAAAAGTGGAAGCACATACTCTGTTCATGGATTGGAAGAATTAACATCATTAAAATGTCCATACTACCCAAAGCAATCTATAGATTCAATGCAATCCCCATCAAAATACCAACGACATATTTCATAGAACTAGAACAAATACTTCAAAAGTTCATATGGAACCAAAAAAGACCCCGAATAGCCACAGCAATTTTGAAAAAGAAGGACAAAGTAGGTGGGATCACAATACCAGATATCAGGTTATACCACAAAGCAACTGTAACCAAAACAGCCTGGTACTGGCACAAGAA